AAGTGACCTACAGGCTTGCCTACAGCCTGATCTTCTGGAGACATTTTCTCAATTGAGGTTCCCTCTTCTTAAACAACTCTAGCTCTTATCAAGTTGACATAAAACTACCCAGCATCCCCCCCAAAGGAATAACTCAAGCGTGTATTGATGGATATTGAATAGATAAAATATGGCAATACATGCAGTGGGGTATCACTCAGACTTATGCAGAAAGGAAATTGTGATATATGCTACATTGTGGTTGAACATTGAGGACATTAGACCAAGTGAGATAACCCAGTCATGAAGGAAGAGCAAGTTAGGTCATAATCATAGGTACAGAAAGAATGGTGGTTGGTCAGACTTGGGGAGGCACTGGTAGCGGGTAATTGTTTAATGGGTTTCACTTGGAAGATTCAAGAGTTCTGTGATGGATGGTCACGGTGGCAGCCCAGCAGTATGCTTTGTGCCCCTGAGTGGCGTAGTTACTGATGGCTAAGATGGTCAATTTTGTTAGGTGTGTTTTCCATAATTAAAAATGTATCCTAGAAATTATAGAAGTGTAAGTATAGGAACAGCTGTCTGTACACTCACTAGTGATGTAAAAGTGGAAAAATAAACTCAAGAAGTGTACAGAAATTAAGCCAGATGTTTACTGAGGTACAAAATGGATGTGCATGAATATGCTGTGCATATTGTCTGGTGGACGTGTACATTTTGTATAATTACGGCTGTTAGAATTTCACCTGGCTTGGGCAGGTCAGGTGATGTGGTTGTGGTAAAGACACTTGCAGCACATGCTGTAAGGAGAGACCCAGCTCCCTGAAATGTCCTATCACTTCCACATGCCCACTGTGACATGTGAGTGCCCCTCCCCAACAAATGTGATTAAAAAAATCTTTAGCTAATTTACTAAAATGAATTGAAAGGCCATAAAATAATGTCTGGTTACACACTGAACAGTGATGGAGAGTTTCTTAGCAACCAGATATAATCAAACACCCTAAGGTTGTAGGGCTGGGTGTGGAGGCGTATGCCCTTTATCCCAGTCCTTAAGGCAGAGGCAGGTGGATCTCTGTGAGTTTGAGGCCAGCCTGGTCTACAGAGTGAGTTCCAGGACAGCCAGGGCTACACAGTGAGACCTTGTCGCAAGCAAACCAACCAACCAACCAACAAACAGAAAACCCAAAAAATAGATTGTAAAAAAATAATTTGGCTTGGATATTGAAAGAAATAGATGAGTGTAACTGAAAAGAATGTGCTCACGAATGTGTGTGTGTGTGTGTGTGTGTGTGTGTGTGTGTGTGTGTGTGTGTTTGTGTGTGTGTTTTATTTTTTGTTTTTATGAGACAGGGTTTCTCTGTGTAGTTTTGGTGCCTGTCCTGGATCTCACTCTGTAGACCAGGTTGGCCATGAACTCACAGAGATCCGCCTGGCTCTGCCTCCCGAGTGCTGGAATTAAAGGCATGCACCACCACCGCCCTGCACAAATGTATATTTTAAGTAAACTATTTCAAATCATTGGCAACTGGGTCACTATTTAGTTAAACGTTTAAAGCCTATCTCATACTATGTAATTTTTAGTTGGGTTAATAATCAGACTTGTAATGAATGGCATTGTTAAAGTACTAGCCTAATTATAAAGAGAAATATTTGCATACTTTAGGCAGGGAGTTTAAAAACAACACTAAAAAAGAAAAATCAAAAGCTTACTACATCCTGACACTGAAATTTATCATGAACCCATTACACAGTCAGTAAATTCCCAGCTCTTCCAATGTTTAACCTGAAAGATATTTCTCATTTTTTGTTTATGGTAAAAGTGTCCAATAAATAAAGAATTGGTTAGATGAATTATGTACATTCTTAAAAAAATCTATTATTCAATCAAATGTATCACAGATTGAAGGTGTTCAGTAGTTAGAGAATTGAAATAATAAACTTACTTATATCATGTTGATATAGAAGATAAAACTTACATCTTTGAAAAAAGAGATTCCAAGGCTCGTCTTTTTGAAATGTACGTGTCCACGTATGGACATTGCAAAAGGTTTGGGAGGAGTATGTTCCGTGTTTGGGTGTTCATGTGTTTGGAGGCCAGAGGTCAGCCTAAGCTGTCATTGCTCAGGAGCCATCCACTTGTTTTTATCAGTCTCTTCCTGGGACCTGAGGCTTGCTGAGCAGGCTGGCCGGCTGGCCAGGGCCAGGGAGTCTCCTGTCTCTGCCTCCCAGTGCTGGGTTACAAGTGCAGGCTACCATGCCTTGCTGCTGTGGCTTCTGCCTCTTCTCATCCTCTTCTTCTCTTCCTCTCCTCCTCCTCCTCCCCCTCTTCCTCCTCCTCCTCCCCCTCCTCCTCCCCCTCCTCCCCCTCCTCCTCCTCCTCCCCCTCCTCCTTCTCCTCCCCCTCCTCCTTCTCCTCCTCCCCCTCCTCCTCCTCCTTCTCCTCCTTCTTATATTATCATTATTATTATTATTGAAACAGGGTCTCATTATGTAACCCTGACTGACCTAGAACTCACTTTGTAGGCCAGGATGGTCTCTTACTCACACAGATCCACCTGCTTCTGTCTCCTTACTTTTTTTTTTTTTTTTTTTTTTGGTTTTTCGAGACAGGGTTTCTCTGTGTAGCTTTGCGCCTTTCCTGGAACTCACTTGGTAGTCCAGGCTGGCCTCGAACTCACAAAGATCCGCCTGGCTCTGCCTCCCGAGTGCTGGGATTAAAGGCGTGCGCCACCACCGCCCGGCCTGTCTCCTTACTTTTTATGTGGGTTCTGGGGATTCAGTTTAGGTCTTTATGCTTATGTTCCAAGCACTTTGCTACTGGAACCATCTCTAGTCCCAGAAGTATTTATCATTTATTTCTTTACTTTTCTTTGCAAATTTCCGTTAATTTTTTTTTGGGGGGGTTGGAAACGTGTTTGTTTTATAAGAAAATTTTAGCTTTTAAATTTGGATATAGTTCGTAATATTGCAAAAATGCAGAAAGAAAATTTGAATTTTGACAATCCACTCAAGAACACAAATTGTATTAATAAAACATTTAATAATTAGATTACACAGTGCTTCATATTTCTAGAGGGAGATAAAATATTTTTGTTGGAATAGTAAGAAATGGTGTTAATTGTTCACATAACACTCTCTTAAGCTCCATTTCTACATGAAAGAACACCTGAATAATAGTAATTCAGTGTTTAAAAAAATGAAAAATTGACGTTTATTTATTGTGCGCAGGAGCACGTTACAGCAGGCATTCTGAGGTCAGAGGCCGGCTTACAGGAAATAGATAAGTGGACCCCCGGGGTGGAGCTCAGGTTGTCAAGCGTGGCAGCACACGCCTGAGCCCACCCCCCCCCAACCCTCCCACCCCCACCCCCCGGCCATCTTGCTGGCCCTAATTCACTACTTTATAGTTTCTGGAAAAATAAACGTAGAGAAGCCAAGTATGGTGGCTCATGCCTGTGATCCCAGTTCCTAGGGGCTTCATCAGACTGTTAAAAAGAAAAGATGGTATTGAGGTATTTAGAGCTGAAATTAGTCTGTATAGCTGAATTTTTTATTATGAGTAAAGGGTTGAATATGGGCAATAGAATCAATAGTTTCTAAAAGAGCGTATTAAAATTTATCAGTTATTTGTGGACAGAGCCATCTGACATGTAAATGGAATTTACCTCAAGGTTGACCTGTGTTTTAGATGTATGTCCTTTTTCTTCGTCTCATTTTCTTTTCCTGTACAAAAAGAAGGACCCCGATATAAGGAAGAGAGGGCACAGCCTGTAGTGTCGAGACATAGGAGGGCAAGAGATGAGCCTCAGAAGGAGGGGTGGGGATGTCACTTAAAGATGTAAAAAGTTGAAAGAGTCTCCACAACTGTGGAGGAAGGCAGAGCTCGCCTTCTCGGTGGGGCTCTCTCCACAAAAGTGGACAGAACGGGGGGGGGGGGGGGGGGGGGCCGCAGGGACCCCACTGCTCTCTGTATCACAGTCTTCCTGTGTAGATCAGCGTGCTGCCGGGCTTAGAGGCAGAGATTCGCTTATGTGGTTTAAAAGTCAGCGTTTCCAGACGTCGCTGTGCTCCGGGCTCCTCCATCTCTGTCACCATGGACTGTGCTGGCCGAGGCCCTCCGGGGAAAAGGGTCTGGGGAGAGATATGTCTCTAGGCGAGTCATCCTCCGGAGGCTGCGCAATCAGATCAAAGATCAGCTTCGGGGTGTCCACAGGAGACAGGCCTTTGACAAACATCTCTGCAAAGATACAGCCATCGCTGCATATGTCCACAGGCGTTGCATTTATAGACTGCAGAAGAACTCCAGGAGCATGGCGCCAGAATGTAACAACCACAGGTGTAAGGGCCATCTGGTAGCTGTAAATTCTGGCTAAGCCAAAGCCAGCCAGCTTGACTCTCCCACTACTTGTCACTAGAATGTTCTCTGGCTTCAGATCTCTGTGTACTATGCAATTTTTGTGAAGGAAATCTAGACCTCTTAGGAACTAGTGCATTAAATCCTTGATGGTCTCGAGTGGCAAGCCTAGAGGGTATGCCTTGTCCATATATGTCCATTTGTTCTGGTCCGCATGCTCACACACTGGGGTACTTTGATCTCAGGTAGTTCAGAAGTAGCCTCAGACATCCCTTAGCCAGACAACCTTGGGGTGCTCAAAGCCTCCAGCATCCTTAGTAAGGCCGCCTCATGAGCTGTGCCTATGGGAAGGTTGCTCCAGCTTCTTTTCCACTGGGACTGTCAGAACAAAGTAGCCATGGTGGGGATCATGAGCCTTGTTCGTTGTCCCAGCCACTGGCCTATAAGGAGAGGTTGCCATTCTAGAATCAGGGGAGCCCCATACACCTGGCCAAGAGCTGGTGGAATAACCTTTAATCAGGGCCCAGGGACAGGTCCTTGTGGTACCATATACCTAGGTTTGGTCCAAGACAGCTGGACACTGTGGGCAGGACCATAGACACAACTTATGTCTTTTTTTTTTTCTCTTTTGTAATTTTAATTGAAGCACTGCTAATCACTTAAGTCTTTTTAAAGCACCAAATTTTAATATCTAAGTCAATTTGGGAATGGGGGGTGGGTGGGAAACACTATCAGGAACTTCTCTCCAGAATAAAACAATGATGTTCACTCCTCCACATGTCCAAATTAAAATCTACTAAAACCCAAACCCCACACAGAGAAAAAAAAAGATACTAAAATCACATTCTAGGGGGTCAGTGCATTCCGCAGTCTTTGCTGGGCTGTCTAATTGTCCTTCAGCTGACTTTCAAAAATTAACACCCTAGCTCATTAAAATATACATTTTCCCATTGGCTTTTTTAAATTAAAAATAATAATTAAAAAAAAAAACACTTGAAGGAATTCGTGACCAGTTGCCTGACTCAGTTGATGGTATATAGGGCATATGGAAGTCAGGAAGGCGGCTTGCAGCACACGACATTCAGGGGATGCTCATCTTTAAGGCTTAGCTTTCTTCCAAACAGTGTAAAATACCCACAATTCCAAGTATGAAGGGACACAGACAATCTCTTTTGAGAATTCCACAGGACAATACAGGCGCCCCAGCTGTTCTTCATAGAGCGACAGGGCTTCAGTCAAATTGACACAATTCCCCTGTGTGAAGTATTTCCCATCCTGTTTCAGAACTTTCATGGACAGGTCGAGAATCAGTCTGAGAAACTCCCATGTAGAATCTTCTTCTGGAGATGTAGAGATTGGGACTGCTGTCAAATCATTAATCACATAATCAAACTCTCTCCCTTCTTTGGCGTACCTCTTCAGTACTGGAATATAGTCTTCTATGAGAACCTGATAGCAGTCTCCTTTAAGATTGTCTAAGACATCTCCACATGTTCTTCGCATGTATTTCTTACATCCGTCAATTACCATTTGGTCAATCTCTACCATGGTGACCATCTTTGGTTTCAGTTTGACAATTTCACATAATATGCCACCATCTCCACCTCCCAGAATCAGTACATCTTTGCCAGAATAATCTTCTTTACCACTGCCCATGATGGCTCTGGTATACGCCAAGTCACTCTCTGCCAAATTAACATCACCACTGAGGATGAGAATATTTCCAAACTGCTTTGAGTGTAGAATTTTAATGTTCTGATATGGTGAATCTTCATCATACACCACTTCATCTATGTCGTACTCAACCAGGCGCCCATCAGCAGTAGGCCAGTATCTGTCGATGGCCCCTCCTCGAACTATGGGTGGTAAACGCTTCACCCGCCCAGTACTGTCCTGACTCAGTTCTTTCATTTTTTCTTCTATTTTGTTCAAAAGGCTGTCAGTTTCTTGTTTGCCTTGAACATCACTGTCGTAACTCTGAAGGTCCAGCAACACCAATCCATGGGGATAAATCCTCAAATTGGCAAAGCTGCCATTTTTGTTCGTGTAGGTGCTGCACTGACTCTGCCATCCCATGCTCCTGAAAAATGGACTGCAGGCCTTTCAGAATGGCCTCACCGTCAGCTTTGGCGCCGAGCGTGAAGTCGAGCGTGCTGTGCCTCGCTGCTGCCATAGTGTGGCGAGGCCCTCTGCCATGCCTGGGGAGGCGACCGCGGGAGACTGAGGGGACCACGTGGCGTGTCAAGCTGCAGGCCGGCGGGGAGCGCGCTGCGCCGGGGGAGGCTAAGAGTAGGAGGTGGGCGGGCCAACTTATGTCTTTAATAAACTGAATTTTAGCCGGGCGGTGGTGGCGCATGTCTTTAATCCCAGCACTAGGGAGGCAAAGCCAGGCGGATCTCTGTGAGTTGGAGGCCAGCTTGGTCTACAGAGCGAGATCCAGGACAGGCACCAAAACTACACAGAGAAACCCTGTCTCAAAAAACAAAAAACAACGAAACAACAAAACACCTGAATTTTAATTCTTAAAAAAAGGTTTGCAATAGAAAGCCTTGGCTATTGGTAGTAGATTTATTTGTGTAAAAAGTACTTAGCATGCCGGGCGGTGGTGGCACACGCCTTTAATCCCAGTACTCGGGAGGCAGAGGCAGGCGGATCTCTGTGAGTTCGAGGCCAGCCTGGGCTACCAAGTGCGTTCCAGGAAAGGCGCAAAGCTACACAGAGAAACCCTGTCTCGAAAAAAAAAAAAAGTACTTAGCAAACAATAATGTATTGGCCAGATATTGATAAAAGCAGATATGGTAAAATGTGCTTTTGTGTTAAAAATTCCTTTCAGCAAACTGTCAGATGTGTTTCTTAGAAATGGTTCTCTGCACAAACCAGTGAAGTGCATTTTGACTTTAAAGATGGAAGTACATGACCCAGATCAATGATGGCTTTTCTCACATAATAAATATTAGTGAGATAATGCTTCTGCATTACTGATGTCATACCTTCAGGGGTCTGGTGTGTTTTCTCTCTCTCTCTCTCTCTCTCTCTGTCTTTCTCTCTCTCTGTACATGTGTGGGGTCTTGTGGGATGGGGTGGCTGTATGGAAGTTGGAAGCTAACATTGAGTGTGTCTTCCTTAGTGGTTCACCATCTTGTTATTATTATTATTATTATTATTATTATTCTATCTGTTACTGAACCTGGAGCTCATTGGTTGCATAGACTGGCTGTCCAGCCAGGTCCAGGGACCACCTTGTGTCCCTAGCCTCCTCCCCTAGCACCGCTGTGCCTGGACTTATCATTCGTTTTTATTTCTATGGGTCTCTTGCCTGCCTGCACATGTGTCTGTGTACTGTGTACATGCAGTGCCTATGGAGGCCTGAAGAGGGCATTTGATTCGCTGGGAGTTACAAACAGTTGTAAGGGTGCTGGGACTTGAACCCAAGCCCTCTGGAAGAGAAGCCAGTGCTCTTAACTGCTGAGCCGTCTCTCGAGCCCCTGGGCCTGGCTTTTTACATGAATCCGAAGCCAGGAGCTCATGCTTTACAGCCAAGCACATTACCGACTAAGCTGTCTCCTGAGCCCCGTTAGGTACCCTTCAGTACAGTTTGCCTGTGTTACTGAATTCGGCACAATAGTGGAGTTTTTCATATAATTATAAACATTATGGGGATGTACTTGACATTTTACACTGTTAATCGTTCATTCTGGTCTTCCCAACTTGCCAGTTCACCCTCTCAGTAAGGATGACTGTAACTACAGAGTCGACGCTTGTGTTTTCCCGACCGTTGGTGGACATGTTGAAAGTGAGGAAAACTGGGTTTCCTTGTGTGTACCCGCTCCTCACCGAGGCGAATGCTCGAAGGGTGTGCACCCTCCCTTTCATCTGTCATTTTGTAAACCGGCGTCCTGTGTGCCGTCTCACCAGCGTGATCGCATTTTGTGCATCTTGGTAATGCTCTTGCTGTTTCAGATGGCCCCGGTTTAGTGCTAACGTGTGTCTTGTGCTCCTAAAAGAAGCTGTGAGGCGTCGTATGCAGAAAATGTGAATAAGATGAGGTTTTTTTTTTTTTTTTTTTTTTCCTCAGGCTTGAGTTACAGCACTTTCAGCACGGAGTTCGACGCTCATGACTCAAATATATAATTTTTTTTTCTTTCAGAAAAAAGCATCTTCAAGCAGAAGGACACACGTGTGAAGGTTTTAGATTGGCGGTAAAAATTGTGACTAGGCATTTTCAGGGACGATTTACTGTTCTAAGAGAGAGTATTCCCCACCAGCTCCGATTCTGTTCCTTCAGTGATGCGGCCACTTTATAGAACACAACTGTAGCAAATAACATGACTCAATCGTCTATGAAACCACTTGAAAGGGAGAGTGTTGTAGAAGTATGTGTGTTGAAACCCATTACTTCAGAACCTGTCAATCAGAGCATCACATCAAAACAACCTTTTTGGCAGTATAGTAAATTTAGTTATTCTTCATTGTGTTTGAGTGTTCTAATTTTCCGTACTTAAAAAAGAATTTTGAAGATGAAACACAGAATTGCTCATTAAGATGACTCGTTTCTCCTCAACATTAAATACACATTTGGCTTTGACGTAACCTGTTTATGTCACAGAGTAGAAAAATGGCTGGTAGCCCAGAAAGCCCAGAAAGGCCTGAGATGACAAGCATTTATCATGGTGTGTGCTAGCACCAACATTTTTCATTAGCCCTTAATCATCGGCTTTAATTATTAATTGTCGCTACAACCGATCTAGCAATCAATAATACGTTTTTCATTGAGATGTCGGTTTAATGTAAGTGGAACAAGTCTGAGACCAGAAATATTCTTAGAGGCTGGAGGGTGCAGCTTCCTTTCCTTTCCATCAGTACATTTGGTCTCTCTTTCCTGTCACAGTGATCCTTCTGGTGTCACTGCTTGCTGTGTTTATATACTAGACTCCCAAGATGGTCTTTAAAATCGAGGTTGTGTTTTGTTTCTGTGAGTTCTGATTGCTTTGTGGCTATATGGCAAGAAAAACTTTTGTCCTGAGGTGTCCTTTGGAGTTGAGTTGCTGTTGGAACAGTTACTGTGCAGGCATGTTGAACTGCTGCTATGGAGTGTGACTGAGGCAGGAGAGTGCTGTGTGTAAGGTGGTGGGCTTCAGTGTTTGAGAGAGGGCTGGTTTTACATCTCAAGTGTCTCCCAAGTGACTTTACCCACAAGACTTATCTTTAACATTAGAATAATAACTGTATCTATCTCAGGGTCATGAGTATTTAAACAGCACAGGTGTTTTATAAGCATGGCTAGTACACGGTAGTTCTTGGTCAATTGTTATGCTTATGCTGAAAGAAAACAGAAGCTGTGCCACAGTAAGTTCAACGTTTAAAATAAACTCAGTGCCTCAAACAAACTTGAATCATATTAAGCGGGAAAGGAAATGCTTGCTTTCACAAAGAAATATAAGTGGCCGGGTGATGGCGGCACATGCCTTTAATCCCAGCACTCGGAGGCGGAGGCAGATGGACTTCTACGAGTTCAAGACCAGCCTGCTCTACAGAGTGAGTTCCAGAACAGCCAGGGCTACACAGTGAAATCCTGTTTTGAAAAAACTAAAAACTTAAGAAATATTAGTGTGCCTAGTGTCGTAAGCAGTGGGTTCTTGTTAGTTTAGCTTTAGATGGTTTCTGAATTTGCCAGATTGTGATATTTCATTATGAAGGCTGAGGCAGAATGATGCATATGGAGTTTTGGTTATAACCACCATCTTATAGAACGTAATTATGGCTTTAGCCAAGGGATTTTTTTTCATTTTTCTTTATTAAGAAATTTTCTACTCACTCTACATACCACCCACAGATCCCACCTCCTCCCTTCTCCCACCCCCAGCCCTCTCTCCCAAGCCACCCCACATTCCCACATCCCCCAAATCAAGGTCTCCCATGGGGAGTCAGCAGAGCCCGGCACACTGAGCCTAGGCAGGTCCAAGCCCCTTCCTACTGCACCAAGGCTGCGCAAAGCATCATACCACAGGCACCAGATTCCCAAAAGCCTGCCCATGCACCAGGGATGGATTCCCATTCCCCTACCTGGGTGCCCCCCAAACAGTTTGAGCCAAATAACCGTCTTCCGTATCCAGAGGGCCTAGTCCAGTCCCATGGGGGCTCCATAGCCACCAGTCCACAGTTCATGGGCTTCCACTAGCGTGGGCGGTCATCTCTGCATGTCCTCCCATCATGATCTCGACGTCCCCCACCTGCAGAATCTCTCCTCTCTCTCATCACTTGGATTCCCGGAGCTCAGCCTGGTGCCTGGCTGTGGATCTCTTCATCTGCCTCCATCAGTCACTGGACAAAGGCTCTATGATGACAGCTAGGTTATTTGCTAGGCTGGTCACCAGAGTAGACCAGTCCAGGCACCCTCTGGACCACTGCCAGCAGACCAAGGTGGGGTCAACCTTGTGGATTCCTGAGAGCCTCCCCAGCACCCTGCCTCTTCCTATTCCCATGATGTCCTCATCTACCATGGGGGTGGCAGAGGGCGAGGAGTGGGGGATGAGAACATAGGGAAATGGGAGGGTCGAGCTGGAGCAGGGACTAGTGGGAGGGCAGGGAGGGAGATACCATGATAGCCAAGGGATTCCTTAAGCAGAGGAAAAAGAATCTTCCTCCAATAAAGCACCTTCCCTGTGCAGAGGAAAAACAAGGTGGGTGGCTGGCTTAAGGAACAAAAGCAATTTTGTCTGTGTCTGTGAGCACATGGGTGCACAGGGGCACCTGCACACACACATGGACACAGGGACACCTGCACACACATGTGCACACAGGGGCGCCTGCACACACATGTGCACACAGGGGCACCTGCACACACATATGGACGCACAGGGGCACCTGCACACACATGTGCACACAGGGCACCTGCCCACACATGTGCACACAGGGGCACCTGCACACACATATGGACGCACAGGGGCACCTGCTCACACATGTGCACACAGGGGCACCTGCACACACATATGGACGCACAGGGACACCTGCACACATGTGCACACAGGGGCACCTGCACACACATGTGCACACAGGGGTACCTGCACACACATGTGCACACAGGGGCACCTGCACACACACATGGACACAGGGACACCTGTACACACATGTGCACACAGGGGCACCTGCACATACATGGGCACACAGGGACACCTGCACACACATGGATGCACAGGGGCACCTGCACACACATGTGCACACAGGGACACCTGCACACACATGTGCACACAGGGGCACCTGC